CTAAATACGTTTTGAAGGTATAGGAAAACTGAAAGATTTTCAATTAAAATTCCTATTGACAATTCAGTGAAACCAGTTGCACAACAATTGAGACGTGAAGGATTTAATTTGAGACCAAAACTAGAAAAGAGACTTAATGAACTTGAAAACTTAAATGTAATTGAAAAAGTTAAAGGACCAACACCTTGGATATCTCTGTGTGTTGTAGTACCAAAAGATAATGGTGATATAAGACTTTGTATAGATATGAGACAGGCTAATAGTGCTATTGTGAGAGAACGACATCCTATACCAACTGTTGATGAGGTATTACATGATTTGAACCAAAGTACTGTTTTTAGCAAATTAGATGTGAAATGGGCTTTTCATCAACTTGAATTGAAAGAAGAATCAAGATCAATTACTACATTTGTGACTTATAAAGGACTATATAGATACAAAAGACTAATGTTTGGTATTTCATGTGCTCCAGAGATGTACCAAAGAGTAATGCAACAAGCTTTAAATGTGAAGGTGTGAGAAATATATTTGATGACATAATTGTACATGGTGCGACAGAATTGGAACATAATATTAGACTAGAAAAACTCTTACAAAGAATTCAAGAATTAGGTCTAACTTTAAACAAGGACAAATGTCAATTTAATATGCCACAATTAGAATTTATGGGACACTTATTATCTGCTAGAGGAATAGGTCCAACAGATTCCAAGATCAAGGCTGTTACAGAAGTTAGAAAACCAAAATCTGCTTCAGAGGTGAGATCATTCTTGGGACTTGTGAATTACAGTGCACGTTATATTCAAAACTTATCAACTATAGCTGAACCTTTGAGAAAGTTAACGAAGAAAAACCAAACGTTTGAATGGGGTTTAGAACAAGAACAATCATTCAATAAACTTAAAGAGTGTCTATCTAAAGCTTCAACCCTAGGATATTTCAATAGAAATGATAGAACATTTGTGATAACTGATGCTAGTCCTGTAGGTGTAGGTGCTATTTTAATACAGGAACAGAAAGGTGAACATAGAATAATTAGTTATGCAAGTAGGTCATTGACTGATGTTGAAAAATGTTATTCTCAAACAGAAAAAGAAGCGTTAGGAATAGTATGGGCATGTGAACGTTTTCATATGTACTTATATGGAAGTGAATTTGATTTACTAACTGACCATAAACCTTTGGAATTTATTTATTCAAAACGATCAAAACCTAGTGCTCGTATAGAAAGATGGGTTTTAAGGCTTCAACCTTATACATTTAAAGTACATTATATTAAAGGATCTGACAATATAGCTGACTGTTTGTCAAGATTAACCCAAATGGTATCTACGAATTCATCGAATGAGGATCATGAATATGTGAAATTTGTAGCTGAAACAGCAACTCCAAAAGCTTTAACAACTAGAGAGATTGAGAGACTTTCATCTAATGATAGTGAGTTAAGTGAATTAAGACAATGTATTAAGTCAGGTGAATGGTATAAACTTAAAAATAAAATTTATAATGCTATTAGAAGTGAACTTTGTTTTATAGGACATTTGATATTGCGTGGTAATAGAATTATTATCCCTGAAAAATTACGTGAAACTGTATTAGAACTTTCGCATGAAGGACATCCAGGAATCGTGTTAATGAAACGTCGTTTAAGATCTAAAGTTTGGTGGCCAGGCATTGATAGAGATGTAGACAATTTTTGTAAAACGTGTAAATCATGTCAAATAGTAGGTCAACCGCAATCTCCAGAACCAATGAACACAACAAATTTACCAAATGGTCCATGGCAACATATCGCAGCAGATCTAATGACACCGTCCTTACCATCAGGAGATCATTTGTTTGTGGTAGTAGACTATTATAGTAGGTATATCAAAGTAGAATGGAGGAAATCAACAACAACAAAAATAATTGCTAGTTTGAAACGTATGTTTTTAATACATGGGCTTCCTTATAGTATAACTACTGATAACGGTCCGCAATTCATTAGTGAAAATCTTAAAGACTATTTAAACTGTAACGATGTAAAACATAGAAAAACAACTCCAATTTGGCCTCAAGCTAATGGAGAGGTCGAAAGGCAAAATTGTTCTTTACTTAAAAGACTTAAAATAGCTCAAGTTGAAAGAAAAGACTGAAAAGAAGAACTGTCAAAATATCTGATGATGTACAGAACAACTCCTCATAGTACAACAGGCGTGAGTCCAGCAGAACTTATGTTCAAAAGAAAATTGCTAACGAAATTACCAGAAATGGACATGAACTATCAACATGATGAGTTAGCTATTCGTGATGTTGATTCCGAAAGAAAAGGAAAAGGGAAACTATATACTGACGAGAAAAGGAAAGCGTGTGAAAGTGATTTAAAAACAGGTGATTTAGTTTTATTGAAACAGAAACCTGAAAACAAATTAATGCCAAATTTCGAAACAAACCCATATCGTGTTATTTCTAAATATGGAAATGCTGTCACTGTTGAAAATAATAATGGTGTGCGTTATAAAAGAAATTCAACACATGTGAAAAAGTTTATCGAGAAATTAAATACAACTCAAAGTGGAAATAATAGTTTTCAAAGTGTAAATGTACCAACTAGTGCTCACTCAGATTCAGTGTTCGATTATAATAGTTTAGATGATATTATTGAAGATGATTCAATAGTTCATTTTGATAATAATGTAAATCATAATGTGAATCGTGAAATCAAAATATAGTACAAAATCGTGATAATCAAAATAGAAATGTTAGTGAAAATTATAAAAGTGCTAATGTGAAATCTAGTCAAAAGTGTAAAACACCAAATATAACTGTGTCTAATAAAATTACAAAGGAAACAAATAGCGTATCTCAAACAACAAATTCTAACATTGGAAATAATAACTCAACTGATCAAAATTCAGAAATTCAAATAAACACTAGACCAACTAGACTTAAAAGAATGCCAGATAGATATACAGACTATAAGATGGATAAATAATTTGTATTTGTTTATTTTGCATAATGTGTATCTGTGAGAATGTTTTCATAGTTTTGTAAAATGTTAAATGTTTCCAAAATAAGGTTTTATAATTTATTTTAGTTGTGAATATTATTGTAGAAGTTTTAAAGTATGACAATTGACAGGTCAAGGTTAAGGTTAAAGTGACTGTGTATGCAAAAGATTCTATTTAGAGGAAAACAATAAGTTTGTTTATAATAGTTTATTTTCATTTATATATTTTGTTACAAGACATAATAATTGCAGAAGGTTAAAAATTTAAATTTTAATAATTAAAAGCAATACATTACTTTTAAAGTAAAAAAGGAGGGATTGTAGTGTCTAGCATATCTATTTATAGATACATTATTTAGATGTTTACGGTAAATGCATATTGCCTATGATTACGTCATTATTAATACCCCTCTACTATGTATTGAATTCCCGCCAAGTTCTGATTGTAAGATTGATAATAAAGCATGTATGATTAAATTCGGAGCCTATTTAATTCTCTTCTGGGTTAAATCCGCAAGTGGGGAATACAACAATGCCCACTATAAGAACCTTCAAGAGAAATTCCCCCATGTCTATAAGCAGAAAATGATAGTTGCATATTCAAAAAATAAGAACTTAAATGATAATATTGTTCATAGTAAACTAAAAACAATCAGTACATAACAGATACTATACTTCTCGCCCATCGGGCGAATTATTTTTTCTAATTTCAGATCAGAATAAGAACAGAAGAAAACCCAATATCAAGACCCTTAATCCTAATTTCTAAATAAAGTGTCTGCTCCACCCTAGGCCTGTACATTTGGGAGAATCAAACCCTCCCTTCCCGAAATCTAATTATTTGCAAAATATTAATTTCATATGTTCCTTTCAACATGAAACATCTAGTTTAGTTGCATGGGGTAATTCATCTAATCTACCAATGAATTTGAGAAAGATCACTGATATTAATATTGCAAAATACACCAAAGATAATTGGGAATCTTTAAGAGACGAATGGGAACCTTACGCTAAAAGAGATACGTTATGTCTCGGAGCTTGTTTGATAAAATACAATCAAGCCATGAAAGAAGTTGTATTTCAGAATATTCCAATAATCTAACGGCTCCTTCTTTATCTTTAAAGGGTTGGTATTATTTATATCATTACAATAAAGAAATGGTTGAAGAAGAATGGTATGAAACTACAAGAATGGTTCCGAAACACACCGAAAAAGAAAACGTAGAAAAAGTTTACTCACATAAACACCCTTTTATAAGATATTTTATCAGACAAAGTATTAAAGGAGGAAGAGTTTCGGCAAATCGAAAATCATTTGAAATGAATAAAATGGATGAAATTTGTAATATATTAAGTGAATACTCAGAAACACTAAGTGATAATATAATTGATTTATTCAAAGAATATAGTGCTAACCCAAAAGATAAAACGGAGGTTCATTCGAGACTTAAAAAAATAAAATGTACTAAACTAATGGCCTTTGATGCTAACGGTTTATACGCTTCCGCTATGTCGGATTTAGACAGCGAATATCCGAAAGTGGTAGACCATTCTACAAGAAGAAAATAAAGAATTTGTTAAGCTCTTTAATGAGCAGAAATTCAGACCTAGAACTGCTATTTTAAAAATCTGGTTTGAATATCCCAAAAACTTGTTCTTCCAACCCATACCAGCTAAAGATAAAATCACTTTCACGAATAGAATTGGTAAAAAGGAAACTGGCACTAAAATCAGGTTCAGAAATGGTTTCTGCCACGACGTTTTAACATCGGTCGATATTCAAGAAATAGTGAAAGCCGGTGGACGAATTATTAAAATATTAGATGGTATAGTATACGAAGACAATTTTAAAACTGCACCATATAGAGATTATATTTTAATTTTCAGAGATCTAAGAAATAAATATAAACAAGAAGGTAATATCGTAGGTAGTAATTGCATGAAATTATTAGGTAATTCTTTGTATGGTAAATCTATTCAGAAGGATATAACTACATCGAGACATTTATGGAGTGAAGCGACTTTAAAAGCCAACTTCGATTCACATGTTATAAACTATGAAAAAGTAAATGAGACTCAATATATAGTTGAGATAAATGAAGAAGAAAGAGAATTTGACTGTTCACCTCCTAAATCTACACGACTAACACTTTGTCATTCGGGATCATTCGTTTTATCTCACAGTAAAAAAATAATGAATAATTTTATTCACGTAATAGATGGATTTTATAAGCCGGAAATATACTATACAGATACTGATAGTTTATACATTTCGTCTAGCAATTGGGATAAATTAAATGAAGGTGGGTTGGTGTCCGAAAATGATTATTGTAAAGGAAAGAATGATTACGGTGATGGTGGAATTATATTTGGTTTATATTTAGCGCCAAAAGTTAAATACAATATCATTCTAACTTCCGACGGTGTTTTAAAAGAAAAGAAAACGTTTAAGGGTTACTCTAAAGATAAGATATCCGTAGAAGATTATATTCGATTAGCTAATGGACACGATGTAACGAATGAATTTAAGAAACCTTGGGTAAAAAGTTTCACCAATGGAGTAGTTATTCCAAAGGATGATGATAAACAAAAGAAAGTTTTCAGAAGTTACCTGAATCTCGTTAAGAGAAAAGCACCGGACGATGAAGGAATGATGTATCCTTACAAAGACGGAAAAGAATTGAACATGGATGATAACTACGAATTTGATGATTGCAATTACCTTACTATTCAAGAAGAGAATGAAGAGTGTTAATTTTTTGTTTTAAATGAAGTTGAATAACAATTTCCTCGTTACCAAAATCTATAAACCTATTTTTACCATCTTTGATTTCCAGATTTATATCTTTAATCATAAAGGAATTAAGTGGTAAATACGTCGTTTGAAATGGTTTCTCTATAATTCTATATCCTATCGGTACAGTGAATGTTGGAAGACTGTAAATAATCTGACGTTTGTATTTATTGAAAAATCCACCGTTTATTAAATTGCAATGTATATTTATCACATCGATATCATTCTCGATATTAGCTTTGTGTGGTGCTAAAGTGGATTGCGTGTATATTTGTTTATCAAATCCTAGTAACGTATTCAATGAATTTTCTACGTTGAAATCAACTTGACTATTATTTCTTAATATCAATTTTATTTTGTTCAGATTCAAATTACCTTCGAATTCGATATTGTTTTTACCATTGACGCTTCCTCCATATTCAGATAGATATTCGTTAATGGCTATGTATTCGTAGCTTCCTGGTAGTAAACGTATGGTTTTGAACGTAACTCCATTATCTGTTGATATTTTTATTTGGTTATTTTTTTCGTTGATATTTCTAATGGAATTGTAAACAGAGAAATACTTTAATCCCAATTCATATTCTTGATTGCGATCGAGTTCATACTCATAATCTAGAGACAATTTAATGTCTGATTTATTTGAGGTGATAACGAATAGTTCTTTATTTGACATTTTCAATCATGCTTTTATAATCATTTTTATCTATAATACCTATAATAGTCTTTTTAGTATACAATTCACTTCATTATATTGTCTGTGTGATCAATGTCCTTCCTTCATTGCCGCTAATATTACTCGTAATCTATTAAGTAGTTCCTCGTTGTTATCGGACCAAAACGTTATACCTTGTCCAGATGCCACCATATCTTCGAAATCGTCTATTTCTTGTATGATTGGTGTATAATCTTCAGCATAATCATCTGATACCTAATCTTCATCATCTGCTTCATCAACTTCATATTCATCAGGAATAACTTTATTTAAATATATTTGAACTGCTTTCGATCTTCTTGTTTCGGGTCCTGACTTTCTTATTGCATGTAGAAATTTTGAGTATGCTGGTAAATCCTTGTAATCGGCAATGCCAATATACCCGCCATTCATTAAATCTATTAATCCTGTCGTTAATGTAAATATTAAGTTTTTTGTATCGATTTTGAATATAGGGGAATTTACTCTAAATTTTATTCTAAATCCATTAAACAATAACCCCTCATCATCAATGATTGGTGTAATACTCTTTGGTAAATCTGCTTTAGGGTTTGAAAAAAGACTATTAATATCATCTAATGTCCTAATTATAATACCACCATATGGATTTGGTTCTGGGTGATGAGGTTCTATAGGAGGTATGGGTTCTATAGGAGGGATGAGTCTCTTTTTAATATCCTCTTGAAATTTTAATATGGGTTTAAATAGATTTTTATTTACTGTTAATCCAAGTTGTTGTAATCTGTTATTTTCAACTTGGGTCTTTATTTTATTCTTAGCTTTGATATATTCTTTATTTCTTATTAAAATATTATTCCAATCGCTACTCATTTTTAAAACAATAAAATTAACATATGTCGATCATAACTTTTTCCCCCGCAGGTTTTCTAGTATTTACAATACATATCCATGATCATCTGGGTTTCTCCATTGAGCTTTACAAACTTTTCTGAATGTATCTCTGTCCATTCCGTGATTTATCGACTGAATGATTTGAGATAAATCTTTTTCCTTTAATTCAAATAATAAAAAACAATTTGCATTTTTTCTAATGAACATAGAATTCATCCCGTAAAAAGATTGAGATTGGTATATGCAGTGACAGTTGTGATGTCTTCCCTTCGTGAAGAATTCTTGTTGAACAGCTTGATTTCTTTGTGCAACGCAGTCGTCAAACAATATTAAGTTCTTTCGTTTGCTATCAATATTAGACAAGTCTAGATCATTAACATTTTTCAGAAGAAAAACTTTTATATCCGTCGGATTCTTTCCTTCGATGTAGTTATCTATGATATCTTTTATTTCCACTTCTTCTTCGTTTTCTTCGTAATATTGAAATAGGTCTTGAACATCTTTCTTTGGTAGATATTCTAAAGCTTTGAGGAATTGATAATACAATTGCTCTGGTGTTGTTGTGTAGATATACAAAGAATCGGAATCGAAATCTAAAAGTGAGATGAATTTTCCCAGAACTGGAACTACCGCATATACACATGAGCATTGGGTTATTAGGAAATATTTCTGAATGATTAAATTTTTTGCCGATTTTTTATTATTTTATTTTATTCAAAAAATCATCCTTCTCCTTTATACTTTGAAAGAAATATTCCTTCTCCAGCGTGGATATTTTTTTTAAAATATTCCATTACCCTTATGTTTGACTTTGATTTCTCCTGTGTCAATACTATCTACTAATTTATTTAATCCTTGTTTAACAGTTTTCTTGGTTTCTTCCCCAAATCTTTTTCCAAATTCTTTTATTGTGCCTATCATATCTCCCACTCCTGAACCTTTCTTTTTCCGTATTAGGTTTTTTACCCTCTGCTGCCAACTTTTTCATTGCTAAATTGTGTCTATGTTCTTCGGCAGCTGTTTCTGTGGCTTCTCTCTTTTCTTCGGCAGCTTTTACAGCAGCAATTTTCTTTTCTCTGGCAGAACTTACTGCGGCAGATATCCCACCAGTTGCTACACCTGCTGCGGTAATACCAGCAAATATTAAAGGTAGGAAAAAAACAATTCGGTCGTACAAAAAAGACAAAACCGAAAATCAAAATTATGCTTCCTATCATTTGTAGACAAACATTAAACAGATCATTTGACACAAACGATACGCAAATCGGATTAAAAATGGATTCTGGGAATCGATTTGAGCAAAAATGAGGCAAACCAATTTGGCGGCAAACATGTTACTTCTGGTACGAATTTTTTTAGTTTAAAAAGTTTGCATTAAGGCTGGTAATATAATGCATATGTTACTTTTGACATAAATCAATTCCACCGGAAGTGATGCCACCGGAAGTACTAACATCGAAACCGGAAGTGATGAAAATTTTTTGAATGTGTGCTTTTATTCCACTTTGCTGGCGGTCTACACCATGTAAGTTTCAAGTCAAACCTGCCAAATAACAACCAAAATAGTATGCAACGAATTTTCGAAAATCGAAAATTTTTACTGCTATCATTTGCCCTTTGTTACAAGAAATGCAATGAAAGAAACCCGATCAAAATCGGTTGATAAACATGCCCTCTAATATAATGCATATGTTACTTTTGACATAAATCAATTCCACCGGAAGTGATGCCACCGGAAGTACTAACATCGAAACCGGAAGTGATGAAAATTTTTTGAATGTGTGCTTTTATTCCACTTTGCTGGCGGTCTACACCATGTAAGTTTCAAGTCAAACCTGCCAAATAACAACCAAAATAGTATGCAACGAATTTTCGAAAATCGAAAATTTTTACTGCTATCATTTGCCCTTTGTTACAAGAAATGCAATGAAAGAAACCCGATCAAAATCGGTTGATAAACATGCCCTCTAGAGGCCATTTTCCGTTTGTTGCTAACGTCGCTTCATGTTGCTCAGAAAATTTTCGTTTAACATTTATTCCACAATTCTCCACAGGTTATAAAAGAATAGGGTGAAATCGGTTTTGTCATACCCGTTACCGTTTACGGCTCCCGGNGATGAAGAAAAAAAAATAAAAAACTAGAACTGTACTAATAACAGTACTGATGCAGGGTGTGTTATGACATTTGGGTACATACGAAGTTGGTCTATTGCAAATTGATGTAAATACTTTTCTGCATCTCTAAATGCAAATATCCAAAAGTGCCTGGAGTTGACGAATTTTCTGATAGAAATTCGGGAGAATGGTATTTTAACGGACATGTCAAACTCAGGAATTTTATCTATACTGACATCTCATTAACCAACTTAAATTTGGTACCACAATGTTAAACGAATAGAATTTTACATAGACATGTTGTATATCACTGGAAAGCTCAGAATCTCAGCATTATGAAATCGAAAGAATTATTGCTATATCACTATTAGGCTACGAGATACAGCACTGCAAAGGTTCAAAATGGACCATTTTTAAACCCCTATAAAATCGAAAATAGTTCAAATCGATCCGTCAAAAAGCAACCGAAATAGCATTTTTCGATTAATTTCAACAAAAAAAAGTATTGAACGAATTTTGGAAAATCGAATATTTCCAACTGCTATCATATGTCCTTTGTACTAAGAATTATAATAAAGGAAACCCGAGCAAAATCGAAAGATAAATACGCCCTCTACAGTCCATTTCCGTTTTTTTGCTATCTCACTTCCGGTTGCGCAGAACATTTTTGTTTTACATTTAATACGTGAATAGCCACGAGTTTTACGAACGCCCTGCAATAACCCAAATACAACAAATTATCGCATCAATATACATGATCACACCATGTTTCATTAAAATCAATTGAAAACTGTAGTCTCTAATGTGTTCACAAACAAATTTTGACGCGTTTGTCCATCATCAAATTTGAACTTGTCGAAGATCTATATAAATGATCACACCAAATTTCATTAAAATCAGTTGAAAACTGTAGTCTCTTTTGTGTTCACAAACAAATTTTAACATGTTTTTCCTAAGTCAAGGGCAATAACTCAAAACCCGTTCATTGAAAGATCGTCTAATTCAAACTTGTCCAAGATCTCAATATGAATGATCACACCAAATTTCATTAAAATCAGTAGAAAACTGTAGTCTCTTTTGTGTTCACAAACAAATTTTGACGAGTTTCTCCCTAAATCAAGGGCAATAACTCAAAAACCGTTCATCGAAATATTGTCAAATTTGAACTTGACCAAGATCCCATCAATATAAATGATCCCACCAAATTTCATTAAAATCAGTTGAAAACTGTAGTCTCTATTGTGTTCACAAACAAATTTTGACGCATTTTTCGCTAAATCAAGGGCAATAACTCAAAAACCGTTCATCGAAATATTGTCAAATTTGAACTTTACCAAGATCTCATCAATATAAATGATCACACCAAATTTCATTAAGATCAGTTGAAAACTGTAGTCTCTATTGTGTTCACAAACAAATTTTGACGCGTTTTTCCTAAGTTAAGGGCAATAACTCAAAAACCATTCATCAAAAGATCATCAAAATTGGAACTTGACCAAGATCTCATCAATATAAATGATCACACCAAACTTCATTAAAATCAGTTGAAAACTGTAGTCTCTAATGTGTTCTCAAACAAATTTTGATGCGTTTTTCCTAGTTTTTCAAATTCCCCTCCAGAGTAAAATATAACTTTTTTTAACCTAATGGTTAACATTTTTATCAACCCAAAACAATCCAAAACTCTCAGTAGTATGAGAAATATAGGCCACATAAAAAAAAAGATAGCTTGCCAGTAAATACGCCCACTGGCAGCTGTCAGAAATGATAAACCAGTCTGTAGTGACTGCAGTATGAATTTTCTCATTAAAGAAATTTTAATAGTTTGAATTCAATGATATATATATTTACTGCTAGTTTTCTCTGCTGAGAAAATCCAGCAAATTTTTAAAAATCAATATCAATAACCCAAATACATCATATTATCGCATCAATATACATGATCACACCTTGTTTCATTTAAATCAATTGAAAACTGTAGTCTCTAATGTGTTCACAAACAAATTTTGACGCGTTTTTCCTAGTTTTTCAAATTCCCCTGAAAGTAAAGTATAACTTTTTTCTTAGCCTAATGGTTAACATTTTTATCAACCCAAAACAATCCAAAACTCTCAGTAGTATGAGAAATATAGGCCACATAAAAAAAAGATAGCTTGCCAGTAAATATGTCCACTGGCAGCTGTCAGAAATGAGCTGTCAGAAATGATAAACCAGTCTATAGTGACTACAGTATAAATTTTCTCATATTAAAGAAATTTTAATAGCTTGAATTCAATGATATATATATTTACTGCCAGTTTTCTCTGCTAAGAAATTCCAGCAACTTTTTAAAAATCAATAACCCAAATACATCATATTATCACATCAATATAAATGATCACACCATGTTTCATTAAAATCAATAGTTGTAGTCTCTAATGTGTTCACAAATAAATCTTGACGCGTCAAGGGCAATAACTTAAAGACCGTTCATCGAAAAATCATCAAATTCGAACTTGTCCGAATTTGTTTTATTTCTTTTATATTTTTTATTTTTTTTATAGTGCCGTACGGTACCCTAAACACTGAAGCCCACATGCTGATACTTCTTTATTCCTCACCAGAAGCATGCAAACAATAAATTAAAGAAAATCCACAGACTGCATAAATATTCTGTTTTTGTAAATTAGTAAAATTGCTTGAAACTCTTAAACTCCAGTGCCTTCTTGTCCAATCATTTTCTTCCCTATGTGCATATTATTAAAAGGTGGCTCCAAAAATGTCTTTATGAATGCAAAACCGGTTTTTCCCTGAATCGTACACATTAGGGTTTTATTTACAAAAAAAAAAAATCAGGGACGGGCCAATTTCGGGCACGGGCGGGGACGATCACCAATTTTTTTTTTTTTTTTTTTTGGCTAAATTGCCAAATTTCAATTGAGAAAACAGTGTAGTCAGAGAGAAAGTGCTCGCCCAGCAGACTTGGGAGATCTACTCTGATCAATAATGTAAAAACTTACCATGACATCATGTATCACTAAAATCATTTATGTTATTATACTAATAAGGCTAAAGATAAACTATCTCATAAGTTATAGAAATCATATAACTGTAGCCTACAGCATACAGTTGTATGTAGAAATGAAGCAGGATCTTGTTTACGTTAGCTGAAGTTAAATACGCATACATACTGTAATTACGAAGATGAGCTGAAGTTGTCCTTCTGATTATAACATATAGAACTGTAACACTACTAATTCACAATTGACACTTGTCATTACTTTAGTGGCCGGCCAATTTTTGTGGCAGATGGATACACTAATTTTTTGGATTTATTGTAATTGTTGTAATTAAATCAAAAAACTAAAAATTTGTAATTCATTTCTTATTCAAATAAAGCCTCTAAAAGTCGTGTAATGAATAGAATCATTACATAGTTATCAACATTTCTTTCGCCAGTGATGGATAGCCAATATGGATAATGAAAAATGGCCAATTTTTCCAATGGTCTCCTTTGGAAAAAAGAGCATTTCTCCCCATTGTACATTGTATGTTAGATTGGCATCTCAGCTCCTTACTGGCACCAAACATTTCATTCATATTTCTATCGGAAAAAATTGGCCATATTTTAAACAGTTAACCATGAAAATTCCATTATATTGCATTTTTTGTTGATATGAACTTTCCTGATTGCACCATCTTTATCTCAAGAATGTACTATGAGCCTATGAGAGATTCTATTGTATAGAAAATATCGTTTTTTGTCATAATATTGTAATTCATAATTCAATTCTTTCCTTTGTACACAGCCACTGGCCGGCCATAAAAATTGGCCATTGGCCACAGAATTTGGCCAAAAAATTAGGGACGAATCTATACTCCAAGGGACGAAGCCCTAACTACGTCGATTCGACCAGCGTTGGCTACTTACTAAAACATGAACCGACATGAAATAATCAGAAACGACCAGTGAACAGGAAACGACCAGGAAACGAGTAGGAAAACGACAGGAAACGAGCTCAAATTATTTTGCGATAAATTCTAAGCAAGCTAATTAGGCCAAACAAGTAATTAATTTTTTTTTAAGATACGTATTTGCGAGAGGTGCACTTATGACTCTCAAAATCAGAAAGATAACTTAGTAGTACTAGAGGTTTCAATTAGGTCGCAAAAAAGGGGATTCCCCATTTCATTTCATTTCATGGGGAATCAGCAACCTAATTGAAACCTCCCATAAAGACCTAAACATCCTACATTTCATAAATTCTTACAGCAAAAGACCTAAATTCCCTATATTTCATAAATTCTTACAGCCCCTACATTTCATACACCAAAAAACACCTTCAATCAATTTCCTACATTCCATCAAAAAAAGCATATTAAAAATACCCTTATATAAATAACATTTTTAGTAGATGGGAGATAACTCTTTTTGGATAAAAAACAGACTAAATTAACTCATTTGAAAATAGGATGAGTTTAATTCTAAAACACGAACAACACAGATTCGAAGATTGTTCGGGCGACGGTATCTTTTCTTCATTATTTTCTCTAGGTAAAACAATAATTCCAAAAGTAGCTAGCTTTGTTTCAAAAAAACAAATCACTCATTTCAAGCGGAGCGAAAGCCATCGGCTCAATCGCTGAAGTGGGAAAGAGTATAAGCGACACAGTGAAACAATCTAACGAGTTGAAAGAATTAGAGCTAATAAGAGAACTTCGAAACAGGAGATTAGAAGAAAGGAAAGGAAAAGTTTTTAAAGTTATAGGATAAAAATGATTGTCGCTCACGCTCCAAAAACTTATTTCGGTTCAGGAGATATACAAAAATCATTGGGTTCTCTCCCTGGATTTTCATGGGCGAAATATCCCGGAGAAAAACATCTCCCAGGACACAATTACACCGGTCCAGGCACAAGGTTAGATCTGCGATTAGACGAAAACGATAAACCCAAACCAGGGGAAGAACCAGTCAATAGAGTTGACGCCGCTGCGCTTAAACATGATATTTTATACAGAAATAAAGACATAACATCCAGGCACGAAGCAGACAAACAAATGATAATCGAACTTGAAAATATTCCAAATCCAACTTTCAAAGAGAGAATGCAAAGAGCATTAATTATTAAACTGATAAAAGCAAAGATGAAATTGGGTATGGGATTGGCGGATGAAATTCATAAAGAATTTAGAAGAACTAAAAACTTTTTAAAAGTCAAAGTGTTTGAAAAAGATGAAATATGGTCAGCCGATTTAATTCATATGCCAGTCGAAAGAGGATTTAAATATTGTTTAACAGTTATAGATTTATATACGAGATATGCATGGGTTATTCCTCTGAAAAACAAAACGGGATTATCAGTCAAACACGCATTTGAAGTAGTATATGTCTTTTCGGATATGACGCATTTCACTTCTGCGCATGCGCAGCTTTTTCAATGCGTCATATCCGAAAAGACACAATTGTTAAAATGTATTATAACAGACTCCTCCAAACTGTATTATAACAGACTCCATATAAATTACCCAAACCACAGACAAGAATCACTAAAAATAATACAGTATAAAATAACCGCATTAAAAATGTCTTTAATTTTAAAACACGAACAAAAAAAATTCGAAGGAGATGATTTCTTCTCTGCGCTAACATCTCTCATCCCCAAAGTGGCCAATTTTGTCTCAAACAACAAATCCCTCATTTCCTCAGGAGCATATAAGAGAAATGCGAAATAAAAGATTAGAAAACAAAAAAGGCAATGGTTTTCAAAATATTGGATAAAAATGTCAATGATAATTGCACAAAGCCCTAAAACGTATTTCGGTGCGGGAGACATTCAAAAGTCATTGGGTTCTCTTCCTGGATTCCCATGGTCAAAATATCCCGGAGAAAAACATCTCCCAGGCCACAATTATACAGGTCCAGACATGAGATTAGATAGGCGTTTAGACGAAAATGATAATCCCAAACCAGCGGAAGAACCCGTTAATAGAGTTGACGCAGCAGCGCTCAAACACGACATACTGTACAGAAACAAAGACGTAACATTCAGACACCAAGCAGACAAACATATGATAGACGAACTCGAAAATATTCCCAATCCCACTTTCAAAGAGAAATTACTGCGGGCTCTTATCATAAAACTCTTGAAGGCAAAATTGAAATTGGGTATGGGCATAGCAGACGAGATTCACAAAGAATTTCGAAAAAACAAACATTACCTCAAAGTCAAAGTTTTTGATAAAGATGAAATTTGGTCAGCCGATTTAATCAACATGCCAGTCGAGAGAGGGTACAAGTATTGTTTGACGGTGATCGACTTATACACGAGATATGCTTGGGTCTTTCCCTTGAAAAACAAATCGGGTCTGACTGTCAAACAAGCATTCGAAACCATAATGAAACAATCCGACAGACGACCCCTAAAGTTGTGGGTT